TAAACCGCTTAGAGAGGCCTGAAAGGCCTATGAAGTGGTATATAAGTCTACTGCTATTGCTATTGCTCCTTTAAAATGGAGGAAGCGGTTCTTTCTTACGTGCTATTCAAAATTCCCGGAGATGAGGAGCTACAGTATTTCTTTTACAAAACAAAACAGCGTTCTCTAGCGCCCGGTGAGAAAAAGCAAGCGGTAATCCAGACGAAGCCGGAGGAGCCGCGAGAACATTTGCGCCTCAGCCGCTTTGCTGGCAACCGGAGAGAGGTTGCTGAGGCTGCTACTGGCCCTGTGAGCCAATAGAGGGCGCTGCCACACCACCCGTTTCGTCCCGTCTCTGCCCCCCCCCTCCAATCTCTCTCTCCAGAGGGCGGGGGCGCGAGTAGCTTTGCCGGACTTCGCCGCGGTGGCGGCCGGGATTCTGGCGGAGCCTGCTTGGGAAGAGGGTGGGGGCGGTGGGGAGGAGAGGACGGAGGATGGCTGGAGCTATTAGTGGCCGCGGCGGCAGCTGCAAGATCCGCGACCGGCTACAAAGAGAATGACGGGGCACTTGGGGCGATAGAGGATCCGCGTCCTGTCTCTGGCCCAGCATGGCTGGTCTCATCAAGAAGCAGATTCTAAAGCACCTGTCCAGGTAAAGGTGGACCGAGGGGAGTGGGGGGGTCCCCTCTGGGGAGCTGTTCGAGGGGCGCCGAGCGCAGAAGGCAGGCGGGCTCCGTTGCTGGAAAATCGGGTCGGGGGCGCAGCGGAGGGTGAGACAGTTGGAAGCGGCTCTGCGGCAGCTGAAGTCTTGCAAGCGGGGGGCAGGTTCGCGAAGCCCCCTGACCCTCCGAAGGTATTTCCTTAGCCACTTTTCTCTCTCCCCCCAGTCCTCCTTTCCGACGATTGTTTATTCTTCCCTGGTGTGATATTTAATCACCTTCTCTACGATCAGTTTGCCCCTTTGACGTCTCTTCTGCCCTTTTCCCCTGTCTAGGGATTAGAGGACATCCAACTGGTGGATATTAATATTGGTTCCTCTAGTTTATCACCTTCCGCCTTGAGCAATAATATTGTCTCACTGTATTACCGCACTTAAAGGAAGGTCTGTTAAAATGGTCCTTTGTGTGCCTCTTTTACACACGCAGTGGGTGAAGGTTGACTTTCAAAGCCAGAGAAAGATCTAAGATGTTGCGATTTTTGTTTTGTAAAGACTATCTTCCTGGGTCGTTTCTTTCATCTTCTCATCACAACTAGTGTCCTAGACCCTTCAAGGATTTCAAATGAATGTTTCCTTTGCGAAACATTGTCTAGGAAACATTACAATGTAATTTTTAATTATATATATATATATATATATATATATATATATATATA